TCACTACCTCCATTTCTTCCCCATCTATTTGCCAGGAATTGAGAGGGCCGGATGCCATGATTTTGGTTTTCTTAATGTTGTAACTTTAAATGGTCACTAAATGAACTGTTGTAAATTGAGGAATACCTGTATTACACCTAGGCTGCAAATAAACAAACTATTCTACAAAATAGCAAGAGGACTGTGAAAATATGTTCAGGGAGAGTCAAAATAAACTTCTGGAGCTGTCATACAAATCAGGAAAGAGATGCAGTTGTTTTAACAATGTGAAAAGAGGTTTTCTTCAAATACATCCTTATGCATTACAAAGCCTTTTTCTAATCATTTGTGCAGTTCCATATGAAAGTTTGTAACTAGATGGAATTACCTTAGGGACTTTCTAGTTTCATTTGCAATATAAGCCAAGGTTCACCAGATCTGAGTGCAAATATCCAAGGACAAGTAAATGGTATAGATGGCAGTAAAAAGAAAACAGAAAACTTCCATTCTTTGCTGGACCTAGTGGTGTCCAGAATTTAGCAGTTCAGAAATGGCAGCCTATCACTTACCGTTGCATGTAAGCTATTATATCTTATATCTTAGACATGTTAGTAAACCTTTTAGTTTCTTATGGATTTGATAGAATTAAGGCAAAGTTCTGAATAGTGTTTAGTGAAGCATGATAGAAGGATTCTGCTAATTTGACCTTTGGTTTTATGTTAATAAGCAAAACTCCCAATAGGTAGTTTTAAAAAAGATGCTGCTTTTAAAATGTGTTGCTCATACTCTGACTCTACTGTATATGGTAATAAATTGATCAAAAGCTATCTAACAATATTGAAAGGGCAATTCTGCAGTCCCTGGAAATGCAGAAAGTAGCATTTCAATTCTGAATGCACGTTTTGAAGATACACTACAATAAAAATTATTCTCTGAGGGTTTGTACAAATGTCAACAGAACCATCTTTGAATACAATTTATTAGTTGGTTGAGACTTCCAGCAATTTTATAGAGAGAGTGATAAAGCCAACTGGGCCTAAATGTTCAATACTGTATAATTTATGGCCCATGTTGAATCTTAAAAATAATTTATCAGTGCTAAACAATAACAAAAAGTAATAATTTTCTTTATGTAACATTTTAGTGGCTTAAGCATGCTTTAGGTTGCAATCTTATATGTATAACTGCCGGCAAAGCAATAATCCTACATAGTGCATGTCTTCACAGAAATACATGGGTTTAGCCTGCAATCCTATAAGTGTTACATATCAAAATATCCAAATTATACAATATTGGAGATAGTTGATATCTTGCCATAATTACATTGGTGTTAACTGTGATGCTAGTGTTATGTTACCAATGTAGATTTCATCATGAGCAGTTTAGTGTGTGAGGAAAAAAATATCGAGCTACCGGATCTGTGCTGCAAAAATCTGACAAAGATTTGTTGTTGTTAATTGCGAAGTCGTGTCCGACCCATCGCGACCCCATGGACAACATTCCTCCAGGTCTTCCTGTCCTCTACCATCTTCTGGAGTCCATTTAAATTCACACCTACTGCTTCAGTGACTCCATCCAGCCATCTCATTCTCTGTCGTCCCCTTCTTCTCCTGCCCTCAATCTTTCCCAGCATTAGGCTCTTCTCCATTGAATCCTTCCTTCTCATTAGGTGGCCAAAGTACTTGAGTTTCAACTTCAGGATCTGGCCTTCCAAAGAGCAGTCGGGGTTGATCTCTTCGAGGACTGACCGGTTTGAACGCCTTGCAGTCCAAGGGACTCGCAGGAGTCTTCTCCAGCACCATAGTTCAAAGGCCTCAATTCTTTTGCGCTCAGCCTTTCTTATGGTCCAACTTTCACAGCCATACATTGCAACTGGGAACACCATGGCCTGGACTATACGCACTTTTGTTGGCAGGGTGATGTCTCTGCTTTTTAGTATGCTGTCTAGATTTGCCCTAGCTTTCCTCCCCAGGAGCAAGCGTCTTTTAATTTCTTGGCTGCAGTCCCCATCTGAGGTGATCTTGGAGCCCAGAAAAATAAAATCTGTCACTACCTCCATTTCTTCCCCATCTATTTGCCAGGAATTGAGAGGGCCGGATGCCATGATTTTGGTTTTCTTAATGTTGAGTTTCAAGCCAACTTTTGCACTCTCCTTCTTCACCCGCATCAAGAGGCTCTTTAGTTACTCTTCACTTTCTGACATTAGAGTGGTATCATCTGCATATCTTAGGTTGTTGATATTTCTCCCGGCAATCTTAATTCCAACTTTTGATTCATCTAGCCCTGCCTTTCTCAGGATGTGCTCTGCATATAAGTTAAATAGGCAGGGCGACAGTATACAGCCTTGCCGGACTCCTTTTCCAATTTTGAACCAATCAGTGGTTCCGTGTCCGGTTCTCACTGTTGCTTCTTGACCCGCATATAGGTTTCTCAAGAGACAAATGAGATGGTCTGGTACTCCCATCTCTTTAAGAACTTTCCACAATTTGTTGTGATCCACACAATCAAAGGCTTTTGCATAGTCAATGAAGCAGAAGTAGATGTTTTTCTGGAACTCCCTAGCTTTCTCCATGATCCAGCGTATGTTGGCAATTTGATCTCTAGTTCCTCCGCCTCTTCGAAATCCTGCCTGTACTTCTGGTAGTTCTCGATCCACATACTGCTGGAGTCTAGCTTGTAGGATTTTAAGCATAACTTTACTAGCATGTGAAATGAGTGCAATGGTGCGATAGTTTGCACATTCTTTGGCATTGCCTTTCTTTGGAATTGGAATGTAAACTGACCTTTTCCAATCCTGTGGCCACTGTTGAGTTTTCCAAATTGGCTGGCAAATTGAGTGTAGCACTTTTACTGCATCGTCTTTTAAGATTTTGAATAGCTCAGCTGGAATACTGTCACCTCCACTAGCTTTGTTGTTGCTCAGATTTTCTAAGGCCCATTTCACGTCACATTCTAGGATGTCTGGTTCGAGGTCAGTGACCATCTCATTTTGGTTATCTGGGATGTTAAGCTCATTCTTGTATAGTTCTTCTGTGTAGTTTTGCCATCTCTTCTTAATCTCTTCTGCCTCTGTTAGGTCTCTGCCATTTTGGTCCTTTATCATGCCCATCTTTGCATGAAACGTTCCCTCATATCTCCAATTTTCTTGAAGAGATCTCTGGTCCTCCCTGTTCTGTTGTTTTCTTCTATTTCTTTGCACTGTTCATTTAAGAAGGCATTCTTATCTCTTCTAGCTATTCTCTGGGAATTCTGCATTCAATTGGGTGTATCTTTCTCTTTCTCCTTTGCCTTTCGCTTCCCTTCTTTCCTCAGCTATTTGCAAAGCTTCCTGAGACAGCCATTTTGCTTTCTTGCATTTCTTTTTCTTTGGGATGGTTTTAGTTGCCACCTCTTGTACAATGTTGCGAACTTCCATCCATAGTTCTTCAGGCACTCTGTCTATCAGATCCAGTTCCTTAAATCTATTTGTCATCTCTACTGTATATTCATCAGGAATATGATTTAGTTCATACCTGAGTGGCCTAGTGCTTTTCCCTACTTTTTTCAATTTAAGCCTAAATTTTGCAACGAGAAGCTCATGATCTGAGCCACAGTCAGCTCCTAGGTCTTGTTTTTACTGACTGTATAGAGCTTCTCCATCTTTGGCTGCAGAGCACATAGTCAATCTGATTTCTATGTTGACCATCTGGTGATGTCCATGTGTAGAGCCGTCTCTTGGGTTGTTGGAAAAGAGTGTTTGTTATGACCATCGTATTCTCTTGACAAAATTCTATTAGCCTGTGCCCTGCTTCATTTTGTTCTCCAAGGCCAAACTTGCCTGTTATTCCGGTTATCTTTTGGCTTCCTACCTTAGCATTCCAATCCCCCATGATGATAAGGACATCATTTTTTGGTGTTAATTCTATAAGGTGCTGTAGGGCTTCATAGAACCGGTCAATTTCATCCTCTTCAGCACCAGTGGTTGGGGCATAGATTTGGACTACTGTGATATTGAATGGTTTGCCTTGGATTCGAATTGAGATCATTCTGTCATTTTGGGGATTGTATCCCAGTATTGCTTTTCCTATTCTTTTATTGACTATGAAGGCTACTCCATTTCTTCTCAGGGATTCTTGCCCACAGTAGTATACCTGATGGTCATCTGAGTTAAATTCACCCATTCCTGTCCATTTTAGTTCGCTGATTCCTAAGATGTCGATGTTCAGTCTTGTCATCTCTTTTTTGACTACGTCTAGCTTGCCTTGATTCATGGATCTTACATTCCAGGTTCCTATGGAGAAAAATCTTTTACAGCATCGGACTTTCCTTTCACCACCAGATATATCCACAGCTGAGCGTCCTTTCGGCTTTGGCCCAGTCGCTTCATTCTTTCTGGCGCTACTAGTACTAGCCCTCTGCTCTTCCCCAGTAGCATATTGGACACCTTCCGACCTGAGGGCTCATCTTCCAGCGTCATATCTTTTTGCCTTTTAGTACTGTCCATGGGGTTTTCATGGCAAAGATACTGGAGTGGTTTGCCATTTCCTTCTCCAGTGGATCACATTTTGTCAGAACTCTCTGCTATAACCTGTCCGTCTTGGGTGGCCCTGCACGGCATAGCTTATAGCTTCATTGAGTTACGCAAGCCCCTTCGCCACGACAAGGCAGTAATCCATAAAGGGGCTGACAAAGATTAGGTGGCAGCAGAGATACCAAAAAAAAGAAAAAAGAAGAAAAAATGCTAAATCGTTGTTGCCACATTAGGATTGTACAGATTTTTGAAATCTAGTTTTAAAAATTCTAGAGAGGTGGAGTTGAATTTGGATGTTAAAATTCCTTTGGATGGTTTCTTTATTCAGTTTATTTTATTACAAGTATTTGTATGCTACCTAATTTACCAGGAAAAAAGGGGCAAATTCACTTTGGGATCTTGTTGGCCAATATTTATTGGCCTAACAGCTCACAGAGAGTCTGAAAGTGTGATAGCATGCATCTACAGGCCTGAATAAACCAATGATTTAAAATAAGAAAAAAACGCAGCTCAAAGTTGCTAAATCCTGGCAATGTCGTACCATCTCTAGTGATGAAGGCCAGAACAGGGAGTGTTGGTTGTATTTATACCACACATTTAGTAAGATCAATTCAGTTCCAATGTATGACGCAAACTGACCACACAGGCATTTTATTTCTCTTGTCCCAACATTAATGGTTTCCTTACGTTAACTTAGTTTTGCATGTTATTGAAATCCGAAGATGTGTGTTCACTTTCTCATCTCTGTTTCTTGGTTTCTTTTTACTCTCTTCTGATGAAGGTAGAAGAAGAAGGTTGAAACAAGGACCTAAAGTCTTCTCCAACTGAACCACCCCAGAAGATGAGGGCTGTTTTTTGGAGAAAAAAAAAACATTGTCCCAATCAAAACAAAGACGTTGGTAAATAAAAGCTTAGCAGCCCCCACAACAGCAAGAATATACTCCAACATATTACCCCTAGATATATTGTAGCCATGTTAATCCTAATATACTTCAGTCAAGTAACTTAGTCAATAGCCTGTCTATGATTTGAGTTAACCAAGGTCAGGAATGTTGTGCGAACCCTCCTATCGCCAATGCTTTAATATTTTAATCTTGGCAAGTCACTTTTAAGCTTTTTTTCACCCAAAAGGTGAACCACAAACTAGCCGATCCCATTTTATTCAAACACATTGTATGAACCAGACTATGTGATCAGTTTATGGTTTAGTGAAAATTGAGTAATCCTAATTAATTTAATGATGTCTTAGTGTGTCTTGTGAATATAGTTCATACTTATTAATGACAGTTATCTAATAGAATGAAAGTTGAGTGAAAAGAGACAGGTGTGGATGATATAAGACATTCCAACTATGAAAATAATTACCTTGGTTGCAATGAAACATCTTCATGACAATGATAAAGACCTACTTGTGATGAAGTAAGGTTGCTAGACAATGGGACTTGTGAGAGAGCAAGCATTCAGATTTCATCTGTTAACAGGAGGAAGAGAATAATAGCAAGCTTTCTCTGAGAATCAGCCAAAGTGGGCTTGGACATCCATTCCTTCTTCCATGTGGGATCTTTGCTCTCCTGATTCCAATTATCGAGTTATTGTCCAGTGGTCTGGCTCTAAATAAAGTAACCCTATTAACTTTTTGGTTGTTACTGTATTCTGAGACAGACACAAAGAAAAAGAGAGAATAATACCACTATAACTAAATGCATCCCCTTCCTCTGCTGTAATTGCTTAATGTTTCAACCTATTTTAAAATACATGTTTGGATTCTGTAAGATATAACAACTTTTTTTTCAAAATAAAGTTGTCATATTCTGCTAAATCTCAAGGGATGCAGAATCTTTTAATTTTTTACTTCCACATACAAATGATTTCCCAAACCTACAGGAGAATCATTTCAATTAGTGCAAAGCTGATAATTAGCTAACTAATAAGGACTAATTTTCTGTCACAATTATTTCCTAATTAAATCCCAAACTGAGATTTCGAACCCAGATGGTCAGTAATGCTACAGATTTGTTTAAATTTCTTAGACAGTAACAAACTGCTAATTAGGTTTTGTAAATATATTAATTCTCTTGCGATTGAATTAATAATATTGCATGTTGGTAAATTATTACCTCATTAATTCTGATAGGACTTAGTCTGTCTGACATATAATCCACTTATCACACATTGGTAGTAAAAAGATTATGAATAAAATCATAAGTGAAACCTTCCTTTTAATTCAGGAGTGCGGCTGTCAATGTTTGGTGTCATATTTCCAAATAAGCAAGCCCCTGAGGCTGGAATTCAAAGTATGCTTACCTCAACACAGACAGATTTGATATGTTTATTTCAATCCATTTCCACATTAATTTTAAATGTGCAAAAACAGTCAGCATGAGATTTAGGAACATCTTGCACCTACAATTCTTAATAAGCCTGGTTTTTGAAAAATATTTTTCTTCTTGTAATGTATATTTGTCCAATATTACTACACACACACACACACACACACACACACACGTATGTGTGTATGTATGCATACATAATAACTGTATCTCAGTAATATTCCTTTGGGAGCCTCAAGGAAGGTGGTGAAGTTCCCTTCAGATTAGACATGCATTTATTGGCTTGGTTTATGATACAAAAACATTGTGTTATTAGCATTATGTCTAAACACAAGCCATGAGTGATTGAAGTAAAAGCATCCAAACCCTGGGTGGTATTTTAGAAGATCTAGTTACCTTAGGCATGGCTCTGTTTATTGTCCAACCCTACATAGGGGAAACTTTAAAACTGACTTCCCTTTCTGATCTGCACACAAAATTGGGAGGTAGGAATGACTACAAGATGGGAATCCTTGCAGAGTTTTTACTGCTTCTGGTTTCTTTTTATTTCCTCTCTGCATAAATGAGGGATGAAGTAGCTACACCCCAAGGATGGGGAGAAGGTCAGCCACTCTCTATGTTGTGTACAGTGCCTCTCACCATAATTAGCCCACCACCATTTTTTAAATTTTATTTTTCAATAAAACAAAAATAATCAGGAAATGGCATTTAGTCTGCTACCATAAAGATGAGTGAAGTTAGATTTATCTTCCCCATTTCCTCAAAGTGATTAACATGGGGGTCTTTCTTTTTTTAAAATCTTCACAACAGTCCTGATTTTTTGTACGTGCATTCCAATAAATATTTCCTTTTCCTTTCTCTTGTACAGACAAATTAAAAGGGGGGGGGAACCAAAAGGAGACAAACCAAATCACCTATTGAGCATCCATGGCTGAGAGTGGACTTGAATGTCCCCAATACTCACCCAACATCTCAACTTATTATATGTATTATATTGTGTGAGTGGCATGAAGGTTGATCAAAAAATCCTACTCTTATCAGGTACAGCACATGTTTATTATTCTGAACCCTGAAAAGTGTCCTGTGTATTCTATAAAGTGTCTCAACCTGCTAATATAATTCTCAAATAATTATCACAATAGCCTTTCAGTAAAGGAAAGAATGGCCATTAATTAAATCTGCATATTTCACTGAATACTGGCTTTTGTCAGGCATAAGAGAAACATTTGCCTAATTGCCTAATCAATAACTGAACTCATCTGCCAATTCAACCAAAGTTGTGTTTCCCAACTAATGTGCATCCTGATACCATCTTTTCATTTTAGGAGTCAACCACATATGTTCCAATTTTTGTTTTCTTCATATATGGACATCGTCGTAACACCTCATAACAAGTAAACAGTTTGTTTACTTGAGCATAGGCCAATTAGACCAAGCTGTTTATTCCTATCAATGGATTTTCAAAAAGGAATGTGTGATTCTCCATTCATTTACAGTATTCTATTTGAGCATCCCATATTTCTAAACAAGCACAGGCCATGTATGCATTAGATTTCCTCAAGTCTCCTTTTTCCATTCTCCTTCCAAAGTGACATGCAGGAGATGACAAGCAATCTGTCTCCTATTCTGTTTATTCAAAGTGCAATAAGATGGGATTACATCTTGGCTCTCCTGCTGTAAAATCTATAGTTCTACTCTATTGTAGCCAAAATTAGTCATTCAGGCTGTCCCCCAAGATGAACCATTAAGACACTGCTGAATGAACACGATGTAGTTCTCCAATTTGAAATATTAAATATTTGGCTTTCTCTGGGCCTGCAGGTATTTCATCACCTACCAAAGTAACATCATTAGTGCCCCGCCATTGGCATTGATGATGTTAGCTATCTGGCACTGCCTGACACTGATGATGTTACTTAGTTGGGTAATAAAATGCTTGCAAGCAAATATTCAAGTCAGATAGAACCAAGGACTCCACAGTTCAGTCCTGCGCTACATATATTTCTTCTATTGGAATTCATATTAAATGCTTCAAAATTATGCAGAAATTTGCATGCAGGGAAAGCACCAAGGAACAGCTATTCTTTCGGCCTGAATGCCTATGACAATGTGCTCTGCTGGCCAGTGTCAAATACAAAACTACAATAAACTACACAGCTGGATGTAAAATAACTCAACAAAGAGGCTGAAAAATGATATGGCTAATGATCATGGATTCTCACCTCAGACGAAACAAATAGCAGCACACCATGGATATCCTCAAGGAGAACTAGAACAAAATATAATCCCCAAACACACCAAAAATATTGACAACTACCATCAGGACTACATCTCTAAAACAAGCTGAAACATGGAAAATAAAACTCCCTAACAAGCTGCTCAAGCTAAACACTAGAGGCAAAGAGGTACTTGAACCCAAATATGGGTAGTCAACGTGTCCATGCAGAACACAACATCCCCCAGAAAGACCTCAAGCATAACATAGACAATGCTAATCATTTATAATTTTTACAGCCTTAGAAGCAGCATTTAAAACCACAGTACTTGCCCCAGAAACCCAAGAAAACATAAGGCAGACAATCATATCACAGACCAGAAGAGCGCAGAATCAGAACCTAGTTGAAGCAGAAGATAGAGCACCTCTCAAAGACTTAAAGAAGGACTTAAGCATCTTAACCATCACCATCCTTCTAGCAGACAAAGGCTGAACAATGGTTACCATGGACAGAAAAAAAAGGAACTGATGATGTTACCTAGTCAGGTAATGAAATGTCTGCAAGCAAGCAACCAAGCCCAGAGGCACCAAGGGGTCTACAGTTCAACCTACATGTATTCTCTTCTATTGAAATATCAACTCTGTGTGCCTCAGCCACTTACTGTTTTGAGAAAGCACTTGAGTTCAACTAAGCCAAGACCCTAATTTTTGGACATGCAATAAAGCAAGCTAAAAACTTTAAATAATTAGGCATAATTTCTCAAAGCTCTATCAAACCCAAGGTACATCAAAATTAAGTAAGTTGAAATGCACAACTTCAGTGGTAGCAAGTACAATCTTTTCAATTTGCCAGAGGAGCGCAGGATATTCCAGCAGTATTAAAGTTATATTGGATAGGGCACGGGTATCAAACTCGATCGCACGTGACGTATCGTGACGTATCGTAACTTTTTTGTCTTTGAGCTGGGGTGGGTGTGGCCTGCACACGACACATCTGGCCTGTGGGCCACCAGTTTGACACCCCTGGGTAGGGCATAGGTGGAACTTTTATTTGCAGCTCAGTTGGGACAATTGTTTCTTTGACCCTCTGAAAAGGATTCAGTCTAAGCACCAAATTCCAAGTTATTTCATGTGTATCTAATCTGGTACTAAGATAAGGCTTTAGATTGGTCTAATCTAAAGCAGTCACAGGCATATGGATCTATATTAATTGTCCACTGGCTGAAGTTACTGGTTTTTTAAAGATGTGTAAGCTCTTTAATTATGGTTTAACATATGACTCAATGTTAAAAAAAATCTTGCAAGAACTGCAACACTGTGATTCTGCAAAGGGGTTATTTTGATGGTGGGCTATAATTATGCAATTACGATGTAATTTTAGAGAAAGGTAAATATGTAATTGCCGTATAACTGCTATAAAAAGATCAGAAGCCACTTCTTTGTATCTTTTCTCTTCTCTTTTTCTTCTTTTTTATTTTCTTTTTGCACTTTTTATTTTGTCTTCCTTTTTCTTTTTCTTTCCTTTCTATTCTATTTCAGTTTGTATTCATTTTTAATCTAAATGAATATGGGTTGAATATAAAAATGAATGGCCACAAATAGTTGTACATTTGCTACTCTATACAATGAACTGCCTTCCAACTTTCATTCTGATTCTTATTAATGACTGTAGATTCTGCTTTAGGAACTGTTTAATTATAGGTTTTGCAATGTACTTTCTGCTTGCCTTGCTTTGTGGTTTCAACTTACTGTTATGGTGGTTGCTCTGTCTTGACCCCCTCAATTCATTGAGCCTTTAGTGCTTGTGTCCACAGTCCAGAGGCAGGGATCCTTGTTTGAGCCTGAGGCCAGGCATGCGCCCCCTTTATATATGCCTGCTCATAATAATAATAAACTTTATTACGGTCGTAGGCAAGCAATAGCCATCACTTTTTACAATATATTAAATAATAATAATAAAAAAAATAGTACTAACATTAATAGTAAATAATAACATCCCTGTTAAGAAAATACATGTTCTCAAAATGTTAGGGTCACTCCCTAATTTATGTGAGTGGATAGCCGATTAATGTGTGAGTAAATATAATGTTCCAAACATTATTAGAGATATCCCTTTATATATGAAACAACGTATCTAATCACACAAAATCTTCCTGGTAAAATGGCAAGTTTGTACAAAATGTAGTAAGGAAACATGGTCCTGCACCCAAGAATTCCTAGGAGGAGTATTTATTCTGGTAGAGTAATATGCACAAGAAGACACTAAATTATAACGTATCTCGTGATTTGTTACCACAGCGTAAACAGTACATGTGTTAAAAAAGAGAATGCTGCATTTTAAACATTTGGGTTTTAGCTGGAAATAGTTGCATATTTTATTTTATATCTAAGAAAAAAGATGACTGTGAATTAAAAGTCAATGGAAAAAGACGAGGCTTTTTTCTCGTCACATTGAAAGGATGTGGAAGGTTCTTCATTCAGGTGACTGCTAGGCAGAGTGGGTTTACCATTTTACAAATTACTAACTTATTGGGCAGAGTCTATTAATAAATACTCTAGCCCCTTAAGAGAAAACAAACTGATGAGCTTAATCACCGGTCTTTTCCCTATTTTCCGAACTCCAGTGATGAACCACCAGACTTACCTTAGGCTTTTTGTGGGGTAAGTGGACACTTTTACACAAAGCACTCTCCTGTAGCCTCCTATCACTTGGTCTTTTATAAATCCCTGCTGGCCTGAATTGGGTCCAGAGGCATTCTTATAAATCAGGGAAATGCTCAAATGGGCTTTTTGTTTTTTTTATGACCAACTTCCCAGTTTCTTAATGAAAGTAGTAACGTTTGAGGCAAGAAGCTTGATTGGACAGAAAGGAGCTGCTATTGGGCACAAGCTTGCCAATCCCAGCAACTGATACCAATCCTGCTGCCATCTGTGTCTCTTTCCCACTTGGTTTACCCATCCTACATCTCCTGTCTAGTGAAATGGCTACATGGCCTGTATATTCTACCAGTGTATTTTTTATAGTAGGGTGAATTTGTCTTCCTATTTTCATGGCTGGATTTCTATCAATTTCTACATAAAGTCAATCATTACCTAATTTTACTTGTGCTTCCTTTCCCCATCTCTTTCAAGTCCATTATCTTATGCTGTTATTTGTCAAGGCTGACTCCTAATGCGCCTGTACTCGAAAGTTGACAATAGAAACAGAGGGAGGGGGGAGGAGAATGCTTGGAATGCATTGGGAGCAGGGAGGGAGGTAAGAAATTTATGTGAGCCATTTGCAGCCTGAGACGATCCTGATACTTCAAGGCCGTGTAATGGGAATCTTCCGAAAGTGCAGACTGTTTCCCCAAAATAAAAAGAACGTGTTGGATTGGTGGACAATGGACAATGGGTGACCCACATAGGGAAAGGGAGAAACTAACTATGCAGTTTTTCACACAAAAACCTTAGAGCTAGCTTTGCTTCTTCTGTGCCTGTATGGTTCTATCAGAAACATTATACTCTTGGTAAAATAATGTCCCAGGAGTTTCTTTTGCTGCATATGCCAACGGGACAGTTGACATTATTATTCTATGTAATTATGCTATATGTAGGAATTCTATTGATTTTCAGTAAATACCCAATCTACAATATTACTAAAAATAAATAATACTCAAACCTGGGTAAATAACCTTTTATGCACAGACACATGATGCAAAACCTTAGCTCTGGAAAAGGCTATAATTCTGGGAAAGGTGGAACAGAAGAGAAGAGAATGACCAGTAGCAAATTGGATGGACTCAGTTATCATAGCGACTAGCGTATCATTGGAAGAGGTAAAAGTTCACATTAGGGATAAATCATCTTGGAGAAAATCTATCTTTATGGTCACTAAGAATAGACAACAACTTGGTAGCACATAATCATCATCAAAAAAACCTTTTAAAAAATTCTGATGCGTGCCTGGGTTATGAGCACTACAGTAACTGAAGTATAAATAACTGAAGAATTCTAGTGAGAAAAGTATTACTACAGAAAATCATTATACATGACTATTTCTCTTGCTAAGAAATAGTGGAACATACAAAGCAAGATTCAGTTCCTAATGGAGAAAAAAAGTCAAGGTATCACTGTAATTGGAGTAATGGTAGTTCCCTATACCCTGCTTGCCTCACAGTATTTCGTGGCTGGACAAATATAGAAGAACTTTATGCAGCCTTCCTATCAGCTGTCCCCACATCTGCATCCATTCTAGGTTTCACCAAACCTATCTAATTTTATCAAGAGAAAACACAATACAGCTTTAAAACAAAATTAAACTATGTTGTTAGTTACAGATTATAGGGGGGGAAAGAGTAACAAAATGTTCTGTGCACAAAGCAAAAGCACTTCCCTTGTTTGTTCTATAGTTAAACATTTTTCATCCTTAGAAGCTGGAATCTGCCTTCTGAGTAACTGAAGGCCATTATCCCATGTCCTGGACCTGGACAATGAAAAACAGGTCTTTCTGTTCTCCATATGATCCCTTTTCCAGATCTCAAAAAGTGTATTGTAGATCTTCATTTAGACATCTTCTCTCAAGACTGCACATCCTCAATTCCTTTAATCCCTCCTTGGAAGGTTTAATTGCTAGGTAGGGCTCTCGCTGTTTTATTTTCATCAATTTTAGTTTTTAATGTTTTTTTTAAGTAGGTGCCTACTGCTGAGTACAGTATTCAAGCTATGATCTGATTGGTGCAAAATATAGGTGAATGATTACTTCTCATGACTTGGGAAGCTATTCTTCTATTGATGCAACCTCAGACTGCTTTTGCTTTTTGAACAATTGACGTATATTCACCTTGCCATAAACTTCAATTGCAATATCCTTGTCATGCACGCTATTAACGAGCCAGGTACAACCATTCCCCGTACAGAGCTATACGTTTCTTTTTGTTTTTGCTTTTCCTAAGTAAATAACTTGGCACTTCTGTGATACCAGCATGGAACTAACTAACCTGTAGTTTCCCTGTGTTAAGATAGAGGCAGCATAAATCTTTCTTCAGTCCTACAGAAGTTCTCAAAACCAACAAATAGAAATTGACTCGGTCAACTATACTCGCGTATAGTCCAGGCCATGGTTTTCCCAGTTGCAATGTACGGCTGTGAAAGTTGGACCATAAGAAAGGCTGAGCGCAAAAGAATTGAGGCCTTTGAACTATGGTGCTGGAGAAGAGTCCTGCGAGTCCCTTGGACTGCAAGGCGTTCAAACCGGTCAGTCCTAGAAGAGGTCAACCCCGACTGCTCTTTAGAAGGCCAGATCCTGAAGTTGAAACTCAAGTACTTTGGCCACCTAATGAGAAGGAAGGATTCACTTGAGAAGAGCCTAATGTTGGGAAAGATTGAGGGCAATAGAAGAAGGGGACGACAGAGAATGAGATGGCTGGATGGAGTCACTGAAGCAGTAGGTGTGAATTTAAATGGACTCCAGAAGATGGTAGAGGACAGGAAGACCTGGAGGAACATTGTCCATGGGGTCGCGACAGGTCGGACACGACTTCGCAATTAACAACATTAGCAGGTTTCATATATAGCCCAGGATGCTATCCACCTGGCTCTGGCTTTCATCTCATTCAACATCAATAGTTATTCTCTGTGAGTTCTAGTCCTGCATTAGGCACAAAGCCAGTCAGCTTAGCCACTTTCTCCCAGACCGAGGAAGGAGGCTATGGCTAACCATTTCTGAAATACCTTGCCAAGGAAATAACAATGAAAATCTGTCATGATCGAATGGGGAAAAAATGTTTCTGTCAAGCTTAAGTTAACATCCTTTAGCATTCTCAAAAAACAAACAAAAAATCCCCAACCAAACCAAAAAAAAAAACAACCCTGAGTCAAATAGAAGTAATGTAATTCTGCTTTTTGTTTATTATCTCCTTTTGCAATCTTCACTGAGCAGCTGGTATGTTGTTCTTTTTCCTGCTTTTGTTATTCTGAACTAACTGAATTGTCCCTTTTTTAGTTCTTTAGCATCTTTTACTAATCTCCACTCATTTCTAAGCTTGAAACCATCTCTATAAATCCAGGCTGTATTTATACATTTCAGTGACCTTCTACCTCCTATGTGTGCCCTATTTGCTTTTCAGATCTACAGTAACATTTTTTTTTTTGCATCCACACTTGCTTCTTCCATTTTTCCCTCCCCAACCTGTAGTGTTCTTAGAATCTCCTTTTATAGCATCTTTCCTTTGTGGGAGTTCTTTTCCCAAAGCTTCTCTTGCCGTGGAATTCTTATTATTGCTCTGACTTTATTTAAATCTTCTCTCTGGAGTTCCTTTATACATCAGAGGGAGTCAAGCAATTCTCCAAAGCACCTGAAGGCAGGACAAGAAGCAACGGGTGGAAACTAACCAAAGAGAGAAGCAACCTAGAACTAAGGAGAAACTTCCTGACAGTTAGAACAATTAACCAGTGGAACAACCTGTCTCCAGAAGCTGTGAATGCTCCAACACTGGAAGTCTTTAAGAAGAGACTGGACAGCCATTTGTCTGAAATGGTATAAGGTTTCCTGCCTGAGCAAGTGGTTGAACTAGATGACCTCCAAGGTCCCTTCCAACTTTATTATTATTATTATTGATGGATCATCGCACAGTCAGCCAGATGTTCAGATTGGATTTGGCATTTTGTCTACCTATCGAGTCCTTACCCAGGACCTGGGATAGGCGGATGTGGATGTTTGATGGTATTACAGGTATCATCGCAGGATGGAAGCAGTTCCTAGTAAGGCCACCTTTTGCAATTGACTAATAGCGAATTTCTCAGTGCCAATGGTGTTCAAGTGGTGCTCCAGTTGTTTTGGGATTGCACCCAAGGAGCCTATTACTATTGGTACTATCCTTGCTTGCTTTTGCCA